TTTTTTGGCGGGGTGTGGAACTACCTGGAAAAATGCTCGTAGCTTATGACAACGCGTAACTGACTGATTTGGGGAAAATGTCAGAGTATGATCAGTTTGTTTGCTGGAACGCTTACCATCGAAGCCTCGGTTTGTAACTTGCCGCGAGTGCAAGAATGTTAAAATGTCGGTTTGTGCACGTCATCCCTGTGAATGGGCCGTTTTAGATGCAGTCATCGAACGACACCATGAGCACTTTGTGAGGCACACACAGTTTGGGAGGTGCGGCAAGGAAATCAAATTCGATAAACCTCCGGTAAACCGACGGACAACCGCCAATTTCACCTAGCATCGCGCTCCTCCTGCGCCGGATTGTTGGGGAGAATGGGTGCAACCAAATGGCCAGAAGCATCTTTGTTGTCGCCAAGTGCGCTGTAGCAGTTTCCTGCATGATGGCCTCCGAAGGTCCTGACCGCTTTGCTCATGAACCGTGGACCAGCAAACGGGAGCTGACCATGATGCTGCTTTCAAACCTAGTTCTGCCAAGCCAAACAGTGGATGCTCATGCGGCTGTACGTGCAAGCATTTAGCACGCAAGTGCAGTGTGAAACTCTGTACTAGGGCACGGCAAAGGGAACACCGTGACCAACCAGGAACTCAAGTCCTTGTCTAGAGCGTGCAGCAGCAGCAGGACAGGTAGTGCATTTTTTTTGATGTTAAAGGTATGCTTCTATGACTGGGCCAAGACCAACGTTAAAAAATGATGGCCTTTTCGTTGTCAATCTCCATCTTAGTGACGGCCTGGCTGCGTGCAGCTCCAGTCCTGCATCACATATGCAATGCTGAAAAGTCCTCTGGTGGAATTGATTCGCTGGAGCCCCAGCGGCTTTGAGCTTATGAAAGATAGTTTTCTGTGCTCTATATCTCTTGATTGGGCTTGGGGTTCCTTTTGAGTGAGCTTCCGAGAGATTGGGGGCAAGGCTCAGGATTGTCTGACTTAGAAGTTTCCATCAAGACGGGAGCCCAATATAATCCAATAACACTGTAACCTTCCTATAAGGACCCCAAGAGGCAAAATGACCAGCCAAACTCCTGGTTGCCGCGAAGTTGCGGCATGGCCAGTTGCAATCACAGTAGGTCCAGGAGCTGCGAGAGTGTTCAGAATACATGCTCAAACCCCAAAAACGGTAGTGGGTCATGTAGGTGAAGCTGCGAGCTCCTTCCCAACCTGGAAAGAGCACATTCATTTGCTCTTTGCTAGCTTGTAACGAAGGAAGGTGTCTGCACTCCTCGCGCACGCATCTGTGCGAATCAAGCATATCTGTAAGTTAACGCCGAATGCTGGCTCTTGAGTAATGAGCGGCGAGGGAGCGAGTGTGCAGACTATGGACGCTGCAGTTTCCTTCACTGGTGGTTTCTGGTAATTAACCTAAGCACTCAGGTATCTGATGTTAGCAGGCCGGGAAGATGCTTGCCGCTCGCGAATATGTCTGCTTTTCCTGCCGGCAAGTCTTTGGTAAACCAGCTCGTTCTACGGAGATACTGCAATACCATAGGCCCGCTCACGCCGTGTGGCTGCAGTCACCTACGCTGGCTTTCAGCAGATTAGAGGTGTCTTGTATGCTGCATGGGGGGGGGAATCGCGGCCGCGGAGGCTCATCTCCAGCAGGCGAGAACAGAACTTAGCCAGCAACTCAGAGAAGCCGAGAGTGGAGCCTGAGCTGATAATGCCGACAGCATCTCTGTGATCTCCTTGCTGCTGACGAACTGTCATCACTCATGTGATAGGCTTTCCGATGATTTTTACAGCAGAAAGTCCGCTAGGCGTTCGCTGCACTTCACCAATCAGCTTGTACAAGTAATCTACTTGCCTTGATGGCATGCAGTGGCAAGGAGCTTTGGGCTGATGTCTCTCAAGCTTTACCCACAGCCGCATCATGGCTCGAAACATCCCGAGCTGTGCGCGCACATCTAGATAATGTGAAAATGCGCTTGGTAGCTGCAAAATGGTGGCTACTGCTTTTGAATAGTTGTTGTGCGGCCAACACGGAGGAATCCTGTGAATCTTGTGCGACGAACCTGGTTCAGAAAAATGTGCGAGCACACTTTGCAGAGGCTAGGTCGTCATCAAGCAAGTCGGGCATAGGGACCAAACCTTGGGACGTCTACGACTACCTTGGAGTCGTCCACCACAAGTCTGGAATTTACCTCCTGCACAAAATTTGGGTATACATTTTCTCAACCCTGCAAATTCGTGATGAGGACATGGGCTCAATCATCACGCCTTGCTATGGCATATGTGCCAATTACCATGCTCCAGTTGTGTTCATGATGGACATGGCTGGACCAGAAACGGTCAAGCAAAGGCAGGAAGAGGCTAAAGCGAAGGGCAAATCGTTAAAACTTGCAGGCACAGTGCGAGACCCCATGACAATGGCAGTCTCCGCCTACTGCTACCATAGCCGCGGTGAGGAGCAAGTGAACATCATGTTCATGCCGCCAGGCTGGCCTGCGGTGACTGTTCAGACCATGAATATAGTGGATGGGGTGGCCTTTGTCGCCAGGCGGATGATGCCATATATTGCGAATATGACAATGTTGTTTGAGAAGCGGGACAAGAACACTTTCCGATTCGATTATGAAAAAGCGACAAATTCCTCGGAGGGCTTCGATGAGGTAGTCTCGAATATGATAGACTCAATGTTTGGGACCATGATCTCCCCACAGGAGGCACAGCAGTGTCTGGAGGCAGCCGCTTGGGCGGATCTGGCCCGCCACCCCGAGAACACAGACGAGCACACAAATGATGACGGCTGCGAATCTGCAGCCAGAGCTGTTCTCATCGCATCAGCCCCTGCTGATGTACTCGGAGCCTACAGAGATTTCCAGCAGCGGCTTGGATACCCCCCAATCGGCTGACTGGCGTGCTGATAGAAATGAAAAGAACCGCCGTTCAATTGTCCATGCCATGCACGGGCACACCGTATCACGAAAGACTCGTGCTGTGTTTTTTGTCGTGAGGCTGTTCCGAAGGCGGAGGAACTGTCGGAGATTCTTGACAGGTTTCGCTCCACAAGAGTTTGTTGGATGGAGCTCAAGGCATTCCATGGCCTGAAGACTTGTCAAACCAACCTCTCTTCATGAAGCCATTGGCTCAAATCCACCTTGCTGCGCGCCAAGCGCCATCAGGTATCGTCCTGCCCTCAGTGCTTGTCACCCAAAGCAAGGCTCAGCAGCTGACACAGCTTGGATTCAAAGGATGAAGCAGAATTTGTTGCCCCGTGTGCAAAAGTCCCGATTTCAATAGTTTCTTGGTTGGGTAGACAGCCAAACAGCTGGTGTTCCGCCCGAGTGCCATGCTGATAATCAGGTACCGGCTGCCGTGGAGACTGAGGCTCTCAAGCTGCAAAACGAAGAATGAAGTACGGAGGTTCCCGAAAAATAGGGCCCCGTTTTGGGGCTTCCAAGACGCATTCTGGTGTTTAATATTAGGGCCCCCTGATTGTTGAGAAAACTCACAACAAACAGAGGTAGCAGTCAGGTGAAAGGGCGCAGAGCCTAATCTTCAGAATACGACGTCAAGCTGCCCAGTTTTGTCCATGGAGGTTCTTGATTGCCATCAGTCTGGTTATTTCCAAATTTTGTAGAGCAATCAGGAGACCATCCTCCCTTGGCCACAGGTTGAATAGACCATGACCGATGTCATCGGCTGGGCTACAAAGAAAAGCAGTGAAGGTGGCTGGATAGGAAAAAGAAAAGTTGTTGAGGGCTTCACCTCAACAAACGGGTTCTATCATGAGGAGCCTTGTCTTTTGGGGTATTGGGGGGATCCATACTTTCAATTCCGGGAATGACCCTGTGACAAATGTGCGGATGTGGGGATCGGCTACGCGGATTCCCGCAGTACTCCGCAGCTTCTTGGGGTTTGTATGAGGAACGCTTAGTTGTGGCGCGCATGAGCTGGAACAAAAGCCCAGGTCGCTACTCCTGATACATCTGCAGTATGGAACTGACACAGTTTATCAGCGTGTGCACATCATTGAAAAGCGATAAGAGTAAACAACGACAGCGTTGTAGTTTTTGTTGTTTGATCGGAAACGATTGGAGCAAAAAACTTGATGACATGTTGTTGCATAGAAGGCCGGCCTCTAGGTTTTGGCACCGCCCACCTGGCATTTTGACTCTGTCTGTTCTGCAGGATCATGTTCAATGTGTATGGCCATGTTTTTTTGCATCAAAGAATTTGCCGCAGGAATCATCTCTGGAGAGATCAATCAGCCCCTGGGCAAGCTGAAGAAGAAGCATGCTCAATACCAGCTTCGCAATTTCTTCTGTCCTGAGGAACTGGCTCTTCTGCATCCCTATACAGGTTGGACCAGCGACTGAATATGCCAGGCAGAGCCTGCCACTGCTTTAATTTCCTGGGACGTGTAGACTGATTTCTTTTAGCCTGAGACTTCGTAGCATCTGAAATCTTGACAGGAGGACAGGGAGGAAGGTTTCGCTTCTCCACCTGTCCAACATTTGCTAGTCGTGTACCCAAATCCATTTCCTTCCTCAAAAGGATAAATATCGGGTAGCAAAGTCAGACATCTGTGGAGCAGGAGCTCTCGGCATTGGTTCGCATTCATCATCCTGATCCAAGTTGCCCAAGCCGTGGCGCAACTTGCCTCTGATAATTGAGCAGCATGGCCTCACGGCAAGAAGCCCTTTGATGATGAACAGGCAGTTGTTGTTGATTGCCGTTCAGCTGCGGTTTTGCTGTCACTGTACTCCATAGCTAATAACTGCGCAGTACCACGGGAATGTTCACGAGGCAGCTCATCCTAAGTGCTGCTTTGCTGACCTCTCTCTGGTGCGAGCCTGAGCATCTCATGTGGTGGCAGCAGTGGCGATGATGGCAACAGCAACCTCCGCTCCTCTACCTCCGCCCCCCGCTGCCGCCATCACCACCAGCAGCCGCGCTACGCCCGGCTCCTGTCCCGGTGACCCGTTGATACAGACTGTCAGCTGTGACCAGGATGGCTCTGACTGCCTTGATTGGCTTGTATGCCTGGTATCAGGACATGAGCCTCCCCTGCAGCTTCAGAACTCATCAGTGTCATGTGATGCAGTCACATCAACATGTGGTCCTTGGCCCCAACAACCCTGAGTCAACCTTGTGGGCCAGCTCAGGAACATCACATATATTTGCTTGTGGGGTGCGGCCAGCCTATTCCAGGGTGTCATGACTTGCATCTCGAGCTTGCTCCCCGCAGCTTGGCATACTCCAGGTTACCCGGGTTACCCCCAGCACGAACCTGGATTCAGGTTGCATATACCATGTTCAGCAACCTCGGTTTGGAACCTGCTTGAGTGGTGCTTGTGACAAAGCGCAAGCTGGCCAATGGCCAGAAAGAGTAATCTGAGGCGATCACAGGAGTTCTGACGATTCTTGGCATACTTTGATTTCTCATGGCTAAAGCTTACACGGTCCAAACAGACCTGGCACGCTTTTGAGATGATGGCGCTTACTGTCTTTGAGGCAGAGGGATCTCAAGATATCTCAACACCTTCGGTGTGAATGCGCGCGTGTATGTATAAGTAAAGACCCGATTTGGTCCTGGCAACGTAGCTGAGGTTTGACATTTTCAATTTGATTCTGCTGATCAGTGTCCTGCCCTCAGGCATATCCTTCAACGGAGGACATGCTCTAAGTACGAGTGCTCAAATACCGCCCGAACAAATGTGGTCCTCAACTGGGTTCCCCAAAAAACTGCGCACAATTTCAGCATGAAAGCATCCGCGGTATCGGTCACGGAGGTCCCTGTGGTGTACTTTCTGGCAGCGGCATTTGTGCCTTGGCATTTGCAAGGAAATGCTGGATTTCAACCAGATAGCTTGCAGATATGTAAGCGCCAAGGCCTTGCAGCGATAAGGGCTCAGATTAGCCAGGAATTCAGGTTCAATGAAGAGCAAAGAGCAAAGCCTTTCTTTTGGCAGTGGGACTCGTCCACTCCGGTGGCCAGAGGCCTGGCATTTGTACAACGACTACGCAGAGGATCACGGGAAAAAGGCCTACGCGTTTGACCCATTCGTCTCTCGGCCAATTTGTACGGCGTACAGTCGCAACAAAGGAAGCACTTTGAACATTTCTCATTCAGGTCCATCCATGACAATCCTGAGAACCCCCTCCAAGTTTCCTTTGCCTGTACCCTTCCTGTATGATGTCTGAAAGGTTTCCTCCACAATCCTGCCTTTGTCCTTTCCAACAAGGCGAACCCACATGGACACCTTGGCCAGCTAAGGGAAAGTACGCTGCGAAGTACGACCCTCTCGAGAAAGTCCCAATTTCGGACAGCATGCTGGACTGGGCCTTGGGGAGGGCAGATTTGGATCGTTGCTGGAATGATGGTGTCTATTGTTTTTTTTTGGTGGGAGAGGGCGGGCGCGTTACAAAAGGGGTTATGGGTTTTAGAGGGAGACCCACAACAGGGAATACCGAGAGGCTGGCGATTGATTTGGAGTTCTAGCCGTTTAGTGGCAGCTTTACTACAAGCACATCTATGACCAAGACTCCCAGGGGCTGAGTCATGTTTAGTGTTATGGATGTGAGAGGAAATAATTGATAGGTGGCATCATGCCTCTACTGCTCGGACATTGAAGTTTTCCGACCTGCAACCCTGTCTCAAACCCCTTGGGCCTTACCCCGGCTTTAACTCTGAAACCCTGCAAGTGATGATTGTATTTCCTGTGCGATGCGTGTTCAAACAATGCGAAGCCCAGAGCCATGCAAGCGGTAAAACCTGTAGGGCTACCTTGCGCCAAGCATGGACAAAAGAATATGGGAGTAGGAAGCGATCAGGGCCCGCTTTAATGCCCCAGCAGTCCGCTTGTTATAGGAACCGCCATATGCAACCCCCAATTGGCTGCCCTCATGCACTGCGAAGGACAAGGCAGCAGACCGGCTGTTCACCTCTCAGGGAGGCACGGAAGGGCTCTGTCTCAAGACTGAAATCAAAGCTTCAGAGCAGACAGACGTTCTTGCTTTCCTTCCGGCCTGCTCAACACAGAGAGTGTTTGTGTGTTGGGGAGAAGGATATTGTGAGCCATGGGAAAATGCTTCTGAGAACTGCCCAGTTGGCGATTTCTCCGCAGGTCCGGTCTTCCAAGGCGGTGACTATGGCTCGGCTGTGTCGGACCGGCTACAACCAAGTGTTAATAGGAGGGGCCCCAAATCACAGGACTCATATATATATATATATATCTCTGGAGGGTGGGACGCTGTGGGGC